TCCTAGTTTGTTACGGATAAGTGGAGCATAGGAACTAAATGCTGCTTCTCCATGTTTGGTTCCAGTTCTGGGTGAACAGAGTAGGCTTGAACTAGAAGACCTGAGTGGTCTGGGAGGTATATAGACTGACAACAAACCTCTTATTTGTTGAGGTGCTGATCCATTAAGTGTCTTATATACTAATAGATGTATTTTAAAGTCTTTCAATCAAGTCTTTCAGCTACTTTCTTAGCTCTCTCGTTTTTTGGATCAGCTGAAGCTAATCTAAAGTAGCAATTACATAAAATCCCAATCAGTCATATTAATAAATAATTTAACTTTATTGACCTCACATTGGATAAATGTACCTCAGCTTTTAACCCATCCCCTTGGGGAGCAGTGGGCTTCCATTGTGTGGCACCTGGGGAGCAGTGTGAGGTAAAGGGTTTTGCTCAGGAACCCAGAATGGAGGCTGTGGGGATCAAAGCGGGTACTTGCAGCCCTCTGAGAACACAAGCGTAATCCCCTAACAAACTTCATATAAATGAACTATAAAATGTATAATAACTTCAAGAAGTATAAGAAATATCAATACTTCACAAGAAGAGTTTACTCAATTTTTAGGGAAAAATTGATTGTGCATGGAACACCATGTAAAGAGAAAAACTTTTATGAGGGGATGAAACATTTTACAGGAACATTTTTTAAAGATGAGCTATTTCACCAATTTACATTCCTGGTCCAGAGAAACTTGATCCACATCTGCTCGCATCCGATTTTGAAGCAGTATTCTGGTCCTTAACCAAGTTCCTCTTTGTGACATGTGTTAATTTCTAAAATAACTCCTACTACTATGAATTTTACTTCAATGTCCCACAGTCATGAAACCACCAGCTCATATGTCTGAAGTGTTAGAGCTCTAGTGTTGTTCATTTCCTATCCCATATATAACAGGAGCAAAGAAGTTTGGTGATATTCTTGGGAATTCCCAACCAGAAATCTTCCCAGAAGACAAGAGGTGTTTCATCTTCTGGAAAGCTGCATGATCTATACACTCTGTCTGTCGCTTTCCTTGGCAAAAAAAGCCCCTCTGCAGCCAGTAAGCCATTTACAAGTGCACTTTGTGAAAATAGAATTTGTGGGAGTACACTCTGCTGACTGCTTCTACAATTTTTATCATTGAATCTAGAATGCTGAGAGGGCGCTTCAAAACCAAGTCAGTTTAAGCTGTTTATTTAGTCTTAAGATTCCTTAAACAAAATGAATGCCTGCTGAAATGCTGTGTTTACCAGACTTCTGTTATGCATCCATGACTGCCTGTGTGCACACAAGAGCTGTAATTTGCTGCAGCCTTGTTTGGATTATCAAGGCAAAGCTGAGCACCAGGGCCTTGTTAAAAGAGCCAACAGGATTTTAGTGAGACACGTATAGTGTGTGATGCCAATGCTCTCACTCTTTTCTCTTGTTGTTCCACCACACCTGTGTTTTATTTTCAGGGGATCACATGTTGTCTCAATCACTGCCCTTTGACAAGCTGCCTAAGATTTATAGTCGCGATGAAAAGTTGTTCCAGTGCTGGTCGGGTGTATCAGTTTCCTCTTCGGACACGTACATGTTTGAAAAGCTTTGCGTACCATTAAAGTTCTTCCCTATGAAGAGGCGGCCAGTTTCATTTGGACACTGACTTAACAGCCGTGGGTTTGTGTCTGTGTACCCTTAAGATCCTACGATGCCAGCCCGTTCAAATGAGCATCTGGCATCACATGGAGTGAAGTAAGCTTTTGACAAAGCCTTTATGATCTGTTCAGATCTAAAACAACTTTTATGAGTTTGTCAGCATTTCCAAACATAACTCAGTTTTAAGATTGATGATGAAGTCATCTAGATTATTTTTTTTATTAGGGCCTGAAATCAGGCTGGTCCTGTTTTTCATCTGTGAAACTATGTTTCATTATTTAGAACTGGGTCAGCAACAGTGTGTTTGCAATCATGTGTTTGCCATTGACTGATAGCATAATTTCAGATGTAGAAAAAGTTGAAGAGTTTAAATCTTTGGTAAAACAAGAACTGATGTCTTTTCTTTTTTTTTTTTTATTTAAGCAATGTCCAAAGATATATTTCTTTTTTCTAACAGCTACATTGAGCCTAGTCTTGTCCTTAAGAAAAGTGTGTTTGTAGCATGTTGTATATCCTCTACTTCTCATTCAACCTTTGCTCTCTCCTCTCTTTTCTCCAATGTCCTTTCCTTCTTTAACATCTGGAAACAATGAATTGAATGCAGACCTGATGTGTAAATCTACCTGTTGTCCTATCACTTGAGATCAGTAGGAAAGAAGTCATAAAATATAAAACGGATAATTCATCAGCCTGAGAAGGAAGCTGTCAAACCCCCTCTCCTCCCTTTCTTCCTGTGTATATGTGCATGTATTCAAAAATGGCATGAATATGGTCTGTACAGTACTGATCATTGTGTATTATGTATACTATATCCCCTTATGGTATCAGCAAACAAAGATAGAATGTATAACATAATTACAAATCTTAAATTCTCAAGTATTCTTTGTTGTTTTGCAGGAAGAGCAAGAGACCAGCTACACCATCCTCCGAGCTAAAGGTTGTAATGTGACCCTGAATGGTCTGAAGCCCAATACAGCTTACCTACTCCAGATCAGAGCGCGCACTGCAGCTGGATACGGAGCCACCAGTCCCAGTTTCCAGTTTGAAACCAGTCCTGACTGTAAGCTTAACAAAGAAATAATACTTTCTTTACAAATTTGTTACACTCCATTGCAGGAGTATCAGCATCATCACTTTTTATTTGCCATAAAGCCTCAAACATCCAAATTTGATTTTACAGATCATAGCTAAGTGTTGTATTAATCTGAGGGGATATCAAATGCATGAGTTACAACAGGTTTGGTAGATATTTTTTAGCCCCATTTTTCTGACATCTATAAATAAAATCCATTGTAACCACTTGCCCGCATTTCCCTTATTTGAAAACAAAAAACAATACATGAACAATTTAATCCCAGATTTCAGTTCAGTTTTATTCTCAAGGCCTAAGAGCTTTGTTTACAAATAGTGGATTATTCAATAAATAGAATAATGAAGACTAATTAACACAGAAGACAGGTTAAATTTAAAGAAAGAGCACTGCTCTACAAATTCCTCAAAAAAACACACCAGGTTATGGCATATCTACAAACCTGCTGAGAAATGGCATGGTTGAAAAAGGTCAACCTTGAGCTATTAGGCAAAGGTCCATGGTTACTCTGAACTAGTTATATGGACAATCTGTTGATAAGAAAGCTCTTAGTTGTGTGTTGCACAGAAAGAGTAACAAAAGGATAAATATTGTTACTGAACCTTAAGAAACTTTACTAGCAGTTTTACACAACACATGCAGGGAATGAAGCAATCATATATAACCATGTTTAAGAATAAAATGGTTTCGATCAAACCTTGGTCAAAGGTATCATTTCATGTCCATTTTTTAATCCAAGAAAGAAATTCTGTTTAGAATTGTAAACTGATGTTTATTGAAACTGACTAAAAATATGACTGCTCAAACTGATTTAGCTCAAAGTGGACCAATGTTCCCACGTTATTATGTGTAAAACTGGTCCAGTGCAATATGGTTCTTTCTAAGATTTTTCTTTGTTTTGCAAGTTGCCTCTATTTGATAATAGACTAGCAGGAAATTAGGTTGAGAGAGGTTAGAAGACATACAGCAAAGGTTACTGGGTTGGGATTCAACAACATTTGAGACCTACATTGAAAGAAAAAAGAACTATTGAAAAACATAGGTAATTTTCTTCCCCTCCATAGCTTTGTATTAGTCTGTGCAGGCCTCTCATCACAATTCCCAGTGAAATACTTATATTTTAGGATAGTGGTTGTGTTGCAGCACGTTTTGAAAAAGCTCAGTGTAACCTCTTCTACAAACCATTACATGTTGCATATTTTGTGAAGCTACCAGAGAACTGTGTATTTTGATGTGCCTAAACCGAGATGTACCTTTTTTTTTTTTCAGCTGCCTTCTCGATCTCCAGTGAGAACAGCCAGGTTGTTTTAATTGCCATTTCCTGTGCAGTGGCCATCATACTGCTCACCGTGTTGCTGTACGTCCTCATTGGCAGGTCTGTCCCCCGCTCGTATTCTGGATTTTAAGTTGTGGTCTCCTTCAATCACATCAATCTGTTTGCTCTATTTTTGGTGGAACTGTTTGTTGATTGAATTAGTGTCTCGAAATTGACCTCTTTACCTTTTACATCTGCTTTCTTGTATTTCTGTTAAAGCATTTTTAGTTTGAGCTCTCCATATAATATGAATGTGTGTTGTGTTCACAAGCAGATGTGTGCTTCAAGTTGGCCGACAGGAGCTTTCAGACAGGCCACATTGTAAATCCATGGCACATTACAAGACTTACTTATCCTCACTAAGCTTAAAAGAGCTCATTTCACACACACACAAAGCTCTCACCAGCCTCTAGGCTGAACCATTGGGTGAATTCTTACTGGAAATTGTGGCTCAAGTTTAGATTTTTCTATGTGAATTGGCAGGTTTTGTTGCCGCAGCAAATCCAAACATCCTGATGAGAAAAGACTTCACTTTGGCAATGGGCACTGTGAGTATTATATCCTCTTGAGTCCTGCATGGTTCAAAGTCAATTCTTTCCAAAGGTTAGATATCGCTGAGTTCAACTCGATTCCATGTATTTTCCCTGATCATTTTTAGATGTATTTTCTTACAAATATTGGACCATGTTGAAAAGGACTTCTAACTTCATGTAAAAAAGTAGCATTGCTTTTCTCAGAACTGTGCAAAACAAGCATATTTATTTGAGATTATTTCACCTTTAACTCTTCACCCAGCATTAGCCCCGAACTTCCCAGGCACTAAACAGGCTCCGTTCGCTGCTTTGTGAATAATTTGTATGGGTCAGTTACAGGACATAAATTTCCTCATGACAGGACTACTAAAACAAAACATCAACACTTTTAGTCTGCCATACAAAAACACTCACATGCCTACTGAATCCCCCTAGACCGTTCAAATGAAAACTTTCTCAAGTCCATTCTACTGGACTGGAACACAGCAGTTAAGGTATATATGTAAGCCATATATGCACACTTATATACCCTAGAAAACAAATAAATTTTCCTCATTGCACAACCTTATCTTAGTTTGTCCCAAGGCTTCTTATATTTTGTCCTTTGTGCAGTCCAACTCACCCCACAGACTTTTTATTAGACACGGGTCTTGGGGTCATGAAATAGAGTTTATTTTACGTCTGTTAAACATTTCTGTGTTGTTCTACTTTATGTTTAGATATGATTACCCTGCTGAAAGGTTTAAAGAGAAGAAATCCGTTTTCTGCCAATTTATTATTTCCTCAAAATAACAGGGTGTTTTTTTAAAGACTTTAGACTTAGACAAACTTTATTGTCATATTGTATACACAGAGCGCAGTGGCAGCTGGTGGAGTTCTCTCCGGGGGTCAGGCTATATATTGAAAATAAATGTATACCAAAGACCAATCCAACGTATACTAAGTTTTCACATGCATGGTCCAATATGGTTTGACAAACCTTCAAAAATAATGTACCAGCTAAATAATGGAGAAGCTATTAGTCAGCTTTATATTTGTTTTAATATATTAAAATGATTTATTTTCTGAAAATGTGTTTATTTAAGAGCAACTATGCAAATTAACAAACATCTAGAAAAAGTACACTATGTATATATTAGTTTCAAAATCAGTTGTTTTACACCCTTTAGTTATTTCTCTTACTGTAGTAATGGATAAGCTTTTGCAATATGGATTCTTTATTATCAAGATAAGCTATTTAGAAACTTATATTTGCTGGGATATAACATGTATTCTGAATTTTATCATACAGGTTAACTTAATTAATTAACAAAATAAAAGGTATTATCCTAATTTTTACTGAAATTGTATTTAATCTTAGTAACATGTTGTAACTAGCCTTTTCCTAGAACTTAACCATCTTAATGTCTTTCTGCATGAAGGTTGCATGGATGGATGGATGGATGGATGGATGGATGGATGGATGGATGGATGGATGGATGGATGGATGGATGGATGGATGGATGGATGGATTACCAAAGTTTTAATGAAAACAGCAAAGTTACCTTTTATATCTTGCAGTGCGCCTGCCAGGTATCAGAACGTACGTGGACCCCCACACATACGAGGACCCAAGCCAGGCTGTTCATGAGTTTGCCAAGGAGCTTGATGCGTCCTGCATTGCTATTGATAAAGTAGTTGGAGCAGGTAAGAATGAGGGAGCATGACGTGGGATCTCTCACACATACACCAAGTGGATTGTTGTGAGCAGGTTTTTAGCAACGCTAGAATAGATTTGAGGGATGGAGTTAATCATATCCTAACTTCTAATTAGACTTGCGAAAATAAAGTTCCTTTGAAATCATCCAAATGTTTAATTGTAATAATATGTCATTTAGAAATTTTCTCATGATTCTGATTTCAGTGTGATCTATTGAAACAATTACAGGAAGATTAATAATGCTGAAAAAATGCTCTCATTGTTACACAACCATTAATCCATTTTTTTTTCTTTTTTGCAATACATCTACATAGTAGAAGCAAGGGCTTGAGAACTGCTAGTCGTAGAGAGCAAAGTTCCTTATATATCAACATTTTCAAATCTTTGAATTAGTTATTTTAATGTTTGAATAATACAAAATATATATATATATATATATACATACATATATGTGTGTATGTATATGTTGCTTTAGTTTAACAACCATCCATCTTGTTTTGTTACCGGTGGTAGAGGAAAAAAGAACGTAAAATGAGAAATCCTCCCCTGCTTTGAACCCTCTTTCCTCTTTACCTCATCCATTTTTTTTTTTACTGTAAGCAGATACAATAAACTTTATTCTGGAAATAACACCAAATTCCTTTCTTTTTATTATTTTCCGTCCCTCCCATCTTGTAATCCTGATAAGTTGAGCAGCAGTGAGGACTGGGGGCTGATGCATTATGATTCATGTTGAGTTCTGGCAGAAAAAAGTAGATTAAGTCCCTCTGACATAAAAGCAGACTGCTCTCCTGGGTCTCATCAACCCTTCACACTGTAAAGGTGAGGAGATGACCTGAGAGAACAGTACCTGGCAAAACACTGGACTATGAATACAAGTTGCTTTTATTTAAGAAAGGTGGTACAAATTTTGTAGGATTAACATCTAATCTTTAAAAGGTTCCCTTTCGATAAGTAGGAACTTTTGCAAAATATTTGTTTATGGAAATCAGCTGCTCACTTTAAAGAAAGGGTGAATGTGAGACTTTTAGTGAAAAATAAACCTCAAAGGGACTATGTAGGCAGAATGCCACAATAACACAAAAATATAGACAAATACAATTATATGAAATCTAACCTTAATAACGCATAACATACATAATGACATTTTTTATTTACTTTTGGTAGACAATAAGAACAGAGGCTATGATAATGGATAGGGCCTGGTTGTGTTTGCAGATGATATAACTCTGGGCATTGATAGAATCTGCAGTACAGACATTGAACTGATAAATGGCATGTACTTATATAGCGCCTTTATTCAAGTTAGGAGACTTGACCAAAGC